ACACACGACACAGGCGACTGGACGACCGATATCGCGTTTTACCGTGGCCAGAAGACTGCACGGTGGTGGTCTGTTTGCACGACGCCCTGTACGGTGTGTACCTCTAACGCCTGCCCATCGGAGAAGGCGTTCTCTGTGGACCGGAATTGGAGAGACAATGAATGGGGACGAGTACTCTTTACAGATGAGAGCAGCAGATTCAGTCTGAGTAGCGATTCTCATCGCATACTCATCTGGAGAGAGCGGTGGAAGCCGCAATCATCCCTCGAACATCATTGAAAGGGACAGGTATGGAGGTGGCGGTGTTCTCGTTTGGGGAGGAGCATCATGCTTGGTAGTCGGACAGACCTTCACATCTTCGACGCAGGTTCAGTTCAGTCAACGTGACCCGTTATTGTAACGAGATTCTTCTTCCATATGTGCGTCTTTTTAGAAGCGCTATGGGTCCGCAGTTCCTTTTCATGGACGACAATGCACCATGTTATCGCACATTAGCTGCCGAACAGCTCTTAGAAAGTGAGGATATTGAACGTATGGATTGACCGGCACGATCTCCGGATCTCAATTCCATCGAGCATGTATGGAATTTTCTAGGCAGACGCTTGGCAGCTCGTACCTTACCACCAGTAATGATTCCGGAGCTTCGATTGGCGCTGCAAGACGAATGGGTAGCAATGCCTCAACAACTCATTGACACCCTCATTCTCAGCATGGGCAGATGCTGTTAAACCTGCCTAGCAGTCAGGGGAGATCATATCCCCTATTAAAGACTGGAGGTTTCTTGCTGGACACCCATCACAGGGATGTTTCGGCCTTCAGTCGCATTGCGCTCCATGCTACGTTTTCAATGAAGCTTCTTTTTATCCCTCTGATTTCTCTTTTAGTAAGTGTTGCTTACATTACTCATGTCCTTACGTATCGGGGATCTTACGGTATTAAATGTGTTGATTTGGAAAGCTTTTGTACAAAGTTATATTGAAAAAACCGTCTCGTCCTTAATTTTTGCACACCAGTGTACATATACTTTAATTACCTTATTTCTTGTTTAAATGCATATTTTACACATTTTATTTTAATTACTCACCATTTTATGACTTTTTACATTATACATCTGAAAACTAAATATATTACTTAAAATTCTCTTTTCGTATGAAAAATTTGAAAACAGGGATCTACACACAGTCCTATGTTACACTTCTTGAACTCGTAATAACTCATTTGCCGTTTTGGAGGATTTTTCCGGGAATGTGAATAAACGAAGCATCATCATCTCATTTTCTTATCAGTCTCTTCTGAACAAAGTTTTGGAAAATGTCTTTCAGTTAATCTTTCAGAATCAATATCAGAATATCAGAATTTCAGAATCAATATCTGAAATATTTTGCATCATTTCTGTTATTTCATGCTCTGTTAAACATTTTCGACGCTTCGACATTGAAACGGTAAAAACAGAAAAAACAGAAAGAATTCACGTCTAACAAGATCTAATTATTTTCTAAAAACTGAACTGTAAACCGAAATACTCAACGCTTTAGCGCATATAAACTTCTATACTTACAATAAACAACTACCACGTGCGAATAAAGTGCGATTTAAAGAGACGTCATAAATCACGCCATTCAGAAACATTTAGTTCCCGTTTGTTTATATAATCAAAAACATGTGTATGTGAGTCATGCTTCTCTCATTTCGAGTAGAAGGTCTAATGTACATGTATCTGAAACCATATGGACATAGAGTGCCATCTTGTGGCAGAAATTATAGTTTGAAAAACGTTCCAAGGTACTGGCACAAATACGTGACAGTCGGTAGTAAACGCAACAATGCTCTGGCACGCCTGCGTGTCGGCCGGTAGATAAGTATAATCGTTGCTGGCACGTATACGTGACAGTTGGCACGAAGGGGTTAAAGGAATTAGCAGAAAATTCTTTTTAATTTTGTAGTCCAAAGGGGCTTTGTCCCTGAGAGATTATGTGATTCTGCATCAAATCACTCTGAATGCTCGTTTCACTTTTCAAACTGTTGCCACCAAATATTATTGCACTATATTATACTTGAAGAAATTAAATAATGAAGAATCTGCATAAATGTATGTATGTTTCTCATATTGTGATAAAACAATGGTACTTACAACCATCAAATTTTGAATGAGACAATCCTACTGCGAATATGGGCATGTGGAAGCTCATATTTGAAATTTGGAATTTTTTATTATCTATTTCATATTTTGTAAAACTTTAATGAATTTCTGTTTAACAAACTTGAGAATTTCAAAGCGAGCAATGGCAACATTGTACAGAAAAAATATTTTTATCTCCAGCGTGTGAGACTGTGTATCAGAAATTCTAAAGATATGCTCAATTTAAAATTATTTAATTTATTTATTATTTAAATTTATTACTGGGAGTGATTCTAAAACTCATCCACATGAGTTGATGAATTTCTTGAAATTAAAGACAATAAGTGAATCTATCTCATTCTCACATAGAACTTATAGATTAAATCAGAATTATTTGGATTATGGCACAGTGTGCAAGACCTATCTAACACAAGAATTTATACGATACCTTTAAGAGAACTTTTCATGGCAAAATTCTTTTTCGAGAGATCTGAGTCCTTAAGAGCCATACTGATGACAGAAACAAACAAACAAACAAAAACATATTCTTCCAAATTCTTACTAGCCATCCAATTAAATGCTATGAAGGTCACATTGCCTATTAAGGTTGGTATTTATTTCCACAACATCCATGTTTCCCTAAACTTTTAGCATTGTATTCAGTTTTATTGTCTCATAATAAAATTTTCTGTTATTTGCATTCATATCAAATTTTTCAACCTGTATTTCCCCTAAAATTCTAGTACCATATTATTTCAGTTCATTGTTTCGTAATAAAATCTTGTGTCGTGCATTCAATTTTTCAGACTGCATTTATATATTATGCATCATGGCTGGTCTAACTTAATTCAACAGTTTAGAAAAAACAGAGTTTTTATGCCCATTAAGATTATTCTGCCATCAAGTGTTTAAATATAGCAAAAGTATTTAAATTAAAATTTGATTAACAATTAAATCTGATACCTTCGATACTTCACTCATTTTTTAGTGCTGTTATTTATGAAGTGAATATAAAAAATTATTTAAACAAAAATCCAGATTTTTTTTTCCCCCATTTTACTTATGTAAACATATAAAAACGAGTCAAAAATCCAGGCTCTTTGAAGAAATACACTAAACATTCAGACTTAAATTAAAATTTTTAGAAATTTTAATAAATACACCTGAAACATATTTTATAAAAAAATTTCATATATAAAAAAAAATATGTGCTTCACACACACACTCACTCACACACAAAAAGACACTGAGTATTTTTATTGTATTATCTCACAAAAAAAAAAAAAAAAAAAAAAAAAAAAAAGAGAGAATTTTCAACAAATCAACTTTCAAACATTAAAAGACTGCAACACACCGCAAGCCTATATTAACAAACTAATGAAAAACTGATCAACAACTTAAAATCAAATATTTTCACTAATTATTATTATACATTAATTAAAATTTCAAACATTTAAAAAAAGCAAAGAAATATCAGTTAACATACATAGGACAATCAAATATGAATGAGCCTTTATTGGCTGAATATCATGAACAGTAGTTGTCTGATTAGAAAGTTGAGATTGTTAAATACAGTTGTGTAAAGTAATGAAACCAAACCACATGGCTTGTCCGAGTTTTTGTTTAATAGTCCCTACATTGAGCGAGAAATGTGTATGTGTCTCTATTGAGCAATGCAAAAAGTGCCACACCCATGAAAATCTGAAACCAGGAAAAATGTATTTACCTCTTCATGGTCAAAAATGAAGATTTGGAGCAAAAATTCAAGCAAAGCCATCAATGTATTGAAAATCAAGCTCATTCACATTGTTCTTGTTGAATAATATTAAAAAAGTTGCTCATGTTTGCATTTCTCAATAGTTTCAAATTCATTTTTCAGAAGAAAGGGGAGCTTTTTTGCATAAAATTATCACCCATGATGAGACAAGGGTGTATCATTACACAAAGAATCAAATCATGAATCAAAGTATGGCATGGAGAAGAAAACCATGTGAAAGAGAAAACTTGACTGTCTGTGGGGGCAATGTTGGCCATAGTGTCTTGAGAATGGATTTTCACATGTTTGGACCTCCTCAAAGAAGCACTCAGGGGTGATCAACTTGAAATGAATGATCAAATGGTAACTGTTACCTATCCAGCTTTATTCTATGGTAACAATATGAAAAAACATTGGCAAAACATATCATAAAAGAAGAAGGCTATAATTTGCAGAAATATGGATCTTTCTATAATATAAATTTTACTTTTTTTTTGGGGGGGAAGGCTTGTTTATATTTGATTTACCCTCATAAATTAATTAGCAAAGTATTTTCTTTTAAAAAAGGGTGTTATGATAACAGCCCAAATCATATAATCCTATTAAAAGTGGGCACCAGTAAGATAAAATTAGTTGCCAGTATTTAGCAATTAGTGTGTTTAAAGCAAAATTAATTTTACTATTACCAACAATAGCCTTGGAATTAAATTGTTCTTTACAAATTAATATTTGTGTTACGCTTGTTTTTGTTTCATGATTTTAATTAATTTAACTCTCTTCTTGTACTTCCAATTTAGTTTTATTAGTTAATATTTATTACCTTTATGTTTTCAACAAAAATTAATTTTAAACTATTTATTGAAATGCACAAAAAGTATTATACAATTTAGATCTAATATTGGTATTTTTACTAAACAATATTTTAATTTCAAAAATACTATTTTACTATATAATTTTATTTGAAACTATACACTAATATATTAATTAGTAAACTTCAGACAAAAATTATGTTATTTGCACTGACAAATTACAACTAATTATTTTTTAAACTGGTGCACACAATAATAAATAACATTATTAGCTTATTTTTTAGAACAGCCATAAAATAGGAGAAAATATGTTCACCTGAAAAGAACTGAGATATTTCCTCTTTTGAACACCCAAAGGGTAATCCTCGAAGACGTACACACCCATCATTAAGAGAGTCTTCTTGATGAGCACCACTACGCTTAATAACCCATTCCATTTCACTTCTTTTTGATTTAAAGACTATAAAAGGATACATGTTTATATGATTAATATTTTATATTAATATATGAAATACAATAACATGACGTAGAATTTTATAAAATGTAATAATTAGTAAAAAGGTGACTGAAATTGTGAAATTTGATAAGCATATAAATGCCCCATTTTTAACACTAATATATTTACAAAACGTATACTGTAACTGGTACCTGCTAATACATTGCCAAAGATACTACTGGTCACTTTCACAAGCATTCAGAAATCTTTGAAGCTGTTCCAAATTTCCAAATTCTTCTACAAAGATGAGATTGTTTTTTTAAAAAATATTTATTTACTAATTTTTTAAATTTCAATGTCAACTTTGATTTTGAGACTGGCATACACAAAAAGAAGGGGGGGGGTAAATTCATGTGGGGTTACCAAAAAAAAAAATTTGGAAAGAAAAAGCAGCAATGTGATACAACCTGCCAAACAGTTCCCAATGGAAATTATATATATATGTATATTGTTACAACTTTTTCTTGGTCTTAGCAAGACCCACTTAGTTTGTTATCATCTTAATTTTCTTTTATTTTAATTACAGATTTTCATTACAGATTTCTAAAATATATAAAATTGTTAATCTTTAAGCTTGCAGGCCCAGCCCGTATGTTTTTTGTATATTTAGGACTAATAGCAGACCGCTATTTATTTTTGTTTTTATTTTTATTTTGATTTTAGTCTAGATTTAAGATGTTTCGGTATAGTTTAACATATTTTAACACCTTAATGTGTCATTTTGTGCGGACGCATCGGGAAATTGGAACAGAGAATTGAGACTATTAAAATTTTCCAAGACACTTTGTCTAAATTAAAAAAAATTTTTGTAGCGAAAAAGTTTCAATTGCCAGTTTCGGCGAAACGCGTAATGGGGTTAGCTTGATTCGACGTTCAAACAAATAAAATTTCCCTTGAAAAGCCAGTTTGGAAGTCGAGTTGGGCTAATTTACCATTTTCCGCTTACTTTTTTTATCTGATTCTCTTTTTTTAATGTTTTACATGTTTAATGGTTTGATTTTCATATGTATTAATTTTTAAAACGTGTTGAACTTTTTGGAGCAACAGCTCCTGGTAACTTTTAGGCGAACTTACTACAATTTTTATATTTTACTTATTTTGCAGCATATTGCGCAAGATGTTTTCTAGACCAAATTGGTTTATCAAAATTGTAATTACTACCTTGCTTGATATCTTATATATATATATATATAAGCAATGTATCAACAAATACCAGATAATGAACAAGCATTATTTAATAACCTACATAATTAATAACTGTAACTAAATATGAAATATTAGCAACTTTAATCGCTTAGGTTATAAAAAGGTTTTTTTTTTTTTTTTTTTCCCTTTAAGACTTCTGTTCTATCCACAATTTTTTAACTAACAATTTTTAGTGTATAACTAGGGCATACACATTTAGTTTTCTGTTACCATTTTGGTTTTCTAAAGCTTTATATAACACTAAAAATGCTTGAGAAGCAACTGATTTTTAATCAAACAAATTTTACAAAATGATGATAAACGGTTGTACACTGCTTACATGCCCTAATATTAAAGTTACAGATTCTCTAATACTGCCAAGCAGGTGTTTTATTTTAAAATTTACTACTTCTATAGCAGTTCATCTCATCACATGACATTTCCAGATGGTCTAACTACATTTCACATTGGTTTTTGGATTAGAATTTCTGGATTAAAACTTATAAAAAAAAATTCCATCTTCATATAAATCACCACAGTAAAATAATTCTAACAGTAAGAACACATATTAAATGTTTCACTGATTATGATGGAAAATAAGAACAGGAAAACCTCCCGCCATATTACTTACGCGCTCAAAAATCAATGAATAAAAATATTTAACAGGATCTGGAAATGTTAGGGGAATGAAATTCCCTAACTTTTCCAAGTGTATTTTAAGAAATTTCCAGTCTATCTGCATAATGTGTGTTGGCTGTGCTGAAGGATAAATTAATTACGGTACCACATTACGGTAACACAAATATTTGACAATTACATATGACAAAATTGCTTTCCGAAAACATTACTATTATACACTCATGTCCATAAATTAAGGATAATGCAAAATCGGGCAAAGGAAGAGTTAGAAGCAAAACAAATTTGACTTATTTGTAAAGCTTATTTATTAAACAAAAGGTAAAGAGGAAAAAAAAAAAAAAAAAAAAAAAAAAAAAAGATGCTATATGTTTGATATTATTAAAATAATTAGCGATTTTTTCTCCATGGAGCAAATTATAAAAGAAACCTATTTACAAAAAAAAAAAAAAAAAAAAAAAAAAAAAAAAAAAAAAAAAAAAACATAGTTGGTATAATTGTTAATGCATTGTATGTCTCCCAGACGATGCAATACAGTCTGTGCAACGTCTAGGCATGGTGAATATCAAATTATCGATCTGATCTTGGGGGATATTACACCACTAAAAAAGCAATGCTCTCCGAAGTTCCGGTAGACACGTAGGAAGAGGTTGACGGGCTGAAACTCATCGGCCAAGCATGTCCCACACATGCTCTACTGGATTGAAGTCCGGTGAGAATGCTGGCCAGTCCATACGGGTGATAACCTCCGATTGAAGGCATTCGCTTACGATGTTTGCACGGTGAGGACGGGCGTTGTCATCCATAAAGACAAATTGTGTGCCAATGGCGCCCCGAAACAAACATACATGTTGTTCCAGAATGACGTCCCGATAGATTTGGCTTGCCATGGTTCCAATTTGAACATGCAGATCAGTTCTGGAACCCAGAATAATTCCACCCCAAACGAGCACTCCTGCACCACCGTAACGGTGTCGTTCAATGATGTTTTCTTGGTGGTAACGGCTACCTGGAGCTCTCCATATGAAAGTCCGGCGAGAATCAGACTGCAAGCTAAACCTGGACTTACCGGAAAACATCACACAAGCCCAGGCTAACCGCAGGCGACAGTGAGTTGCAGTAAGTGGAACGCATCTGACAGGTCTACGAGCATGTAGACCAATCTGCCCTAAGCGTCCACACGGTCTGCCTTAAAATTGTAGTACCACTGGCTGAAGAGAGCTGATGAGACAGGTCTGAGGCTGTGCTCCACCTGTTTCTTTTGGCAGTAACTTCCAAATACCGGTCCTCATTCGGCATTGTAACTCTGGGGCGACCTGTGCTGTAACGTCTACTCACATTACCATCATTTTGGAATCATTGCCAAAGCCTGGAGATGACACTCTGGGCAATTCCAAGTTCGTCTGATACTTCCAGTTGGGTACGCCCACATTCCAGACGGCCGATAATTCTACCACGTAAAAAATCACCCAAATGCGTCCTTTGTGTCATAACTATTCGGTTATTGCACTGAAATGCTTATAAAACGCCTGCGAACAATTTTACTTCTTTGCCTGTATTCCTTATATATCACTCTCTTACACTCTCGTCAATGTGACGTACCATCAGTGTCATCTGGTTACTTCCTGAAATTTGCATATGATTCTTGAAGATGTGTGTAGGGATTTTACAGGTGATATATTTATTTTAGAGTTCGATTTACGCGTGACTCCGAATTATCCTTAATTTATGGACATGAGTGTAACTAAAATAGCAGTTGTTTTCTCCACTGAAGATTGAGATTAAAATCTACCCAATCTAGATTAAAAAATGTCTTTTTTGAGATATTTTGCAGCTAAACGAAAGAAAGAAATCTATTTAATGATATTTTAAAATAAATTCAGGTATTTTATATTTATTTAGTAGCATACATAAACAAAAAATATGTGCATTAAATTTTGTGATGGTATGTCATCATACTGTTAGAATTAGTTGCAGGAGTATGTTAAAGAAAATTGCCTGCAATTTCAAAGTATTATTAACTAATAATAAATAAATTTAGAGGGAAGAAGCAACATTAAATTATATGAAAATATTAAAATAAATTACTTAAATATTGAATTACAATAACCAACAATATTTTAGAGAATATATTTAGTTATATTAAATGGTTAGCCTAGAACAACAGTCACCAACAGGTGGTCCATAAAAAGATTTTGATGGTCCGCAGAAAATAGGGATATTATTTATATTTTTATGAAGATTCAGTTTAAAAAATGACGAGTAACAAAACCTATTATGGAATATGGATTATACTTTTTGTTTTAATTTTAGCTACTACTTTTAACGAAATTCCTTCTGAATTTAGCGACTTTTTAGCTATTTTTGTATGTGTATCTAGCGACATTTGAAAATGAGAGTTGGCATCCATGGATATGCTGCTGTTATCAATAATAGCACAAAATGGAATTCTCTTTCCTTTTCAATTACAGACTATGCTACTGTAGTCATTCATAACACAGTTTTTTTCCGTGTCAACAGGCAACTTGATAGATTTTTATGAGAACCATCTGCATTCTTGTTTATAATTGCATCATTAGAAGTTTAAATTTTTGTTTTGTCTAACTGTTGATCGATGGCCCCATTGCTGAGTATGCAATGATTATTGTTTACAATAATTAAAAATTAGGGGCATAACACTTTCAGTTTATTGATATTGCTTTGTGTTTGCTGGTTTGTTCTTGCTTTTCGTGAAGTTCCTTTTCGATGGTATAGAAATGTGAAGCTTTCTGTACAAGAAGGCAAGATTTTTGTACTCTTCATGTAATTTTTCAATGTGATCTAAATATGTGTATCAGTGAGATGTTAATAGTGTTTTAATTGTTACTTATAATCAGGGGGGTAGCCTGAACTTTCATAAAGGCATGCTGCTGAACAGCAAATGTTTCGAAAATTATATTAACAAATGAAAATTAGAATTACATGTATTGGAAAGTTGAATATTGTTTTTGCATATTAATATTTTGTTTTTAAGGTCTGATTTGAGTTTTTTTTAATTCATATTAGTGATCTGCCAAATATAAAATGATATATGTAGTGGTGTCCGTGAAGTTCTAAGGGTTGACGACCACTGGCCTAGATGACCAATTACTACTTTTTTATTT